TCGAACCCGCCACCTTAGGTGTACGTGGCTGGCGCCTTAGCCGGTTGAGCTATAGGCGCCGAGCCAACTCATATGGTTTTTTAGGCATGTGCTCAGGTATAAATTCTGAAGGCTTTCACTTCCCATACCCCAGAGGCTATTTAATATTACCCTATGTCATTTTTATAATAATCAGGATGTAAAGTAGTAACCTTACCAGTCACAGCTATGGGTTGGAAGGCCAACATTTGAATGCACATTTTATTACTTACTAATGATGTGACCCTGAATAAATGACTCAGCCTTTCAACTCTGCCATTGCATCATTATTTCTAAAAATGACTAAAAATAGTACCTTCCCCATAGGGCTGTTTCAAGTATTAGAACAGCATTTAGAATTTGAAAACATTTACTACTCAATAAAAGTTGGGTGTTGCTGTTGTTACTATTATTAGCTGGGGAGTAAAAATTTTTTTTAATTCAATTTAAGTCATTTAAAATTCAAATTTAGTGGTATTGCTAAATATCAATTCAGTGATTTTTGGAGACAGAGTCTCACTATGTCGCCCTCAGAAATTCAGTGATTTTTAATAAAATAACTTGGCAACACATTATTCTATAAGTCCTATGTTAACTTCGAGTTTCATATAGCAACTTAAAATGAATAATGGTATGTAAAAAAAGAATTTTCTCATTTTTAGATGTATGATTAATCCCTTTTAGGTAATCTGTATAATAAATCTAGATACCATTTCAATTGAAAATCAAACAAGAAAAAATAATATGGCCCCCCCCATAACATGTAGAAGCACAGGCTCATTGTCCTAATGATATAACTCATAAGTGTCTTTATGTACCAAGAACAACTTAGAAAATTTCCCCAGACTGCCCAGAAGCCACATCTTTGTGATACATCTTGAATTTGCAATGGGGTTCACAAGCTCAGAATGGCAAGAAACCAAGAAATTCGGCATAAAAATAGAAGAAGTGTTTAAAAACTCACCTTATCTCCTTCTTCTACATGGCAGATTGTTTCTTCTGTTGCAGGATTAAGGACAGGAAATTTCTTGCCACTCACTGAATCATGCCATTCATTGTTTATGAAGATCTATAGGGTTAGAGAGGAAGGAGATAAAAAGGTATTTAAATATGCAGCCAAGTTTGCAAATTCTTAGAAGCTTACACCAAAGCATTACGCAATGCCTAATTGAGGCAAATCCCTTCGCCCTTCAAAACGTATTGCCTATTTAAGACATTTTGCACATGCACACCCACACTTAAAGTACTTAGTGATTGATTTACACTTTCACTAAGATATGCACTTACTCCAACTCCAGAAAATAAAGCTTGGGGAAGATGATGTAGAATAGAAAATCCTTTACCTACCGGAAACTGCCACGAATTTGAGGCAACAGTGGAGGCCTTATTTGGTATCATGAGTGATATGTTCTCTTCCTTTATTTTATTGTTCTAAAAGTAGTAAAATATTTTTCTAAAGGAAATGATCTTAAAAGAGGTTTGCTAGGCCAGGATCAGTGGCTCATGCCTGTAATCCTAGCACTTTGGGAGGCTGAGGTAGGTCATCACTTGAGCTCAGAAGGTTGAGACCAGCCTGAACAAGAATGAGAACCTGTCTCTACTTAAAATAGAAAAAAATAAAAAGAGGGCAGCACCTATGGCTCAAAGGAGTAAGGCCCCAGCCCCATATGCTGTAGGTGGCAGGCTCAAACCCAGCCCCAGCCAAAAACTACAAAAAAAAAAAAAAAGAGAAAGAAAAATAGCTGGACATTGTGGTGGATGATTATAGTCCTAGCCACTTGGGAAACTGAGGCATGAGGATCTCTCAATCCTAAGAATTTGAGGTTGTTGTGAGCTATGATGCCACCATGGCACTCAAACCCATGGCAACAAAGTGAGAGTCTGTCTCAAAATAATAAAAAATAAATAAATAAAAGAAGTTTGCTCAGAAAAAAGGGACATATTTTCATTGGCTTTTTAAAAGCATAGCAGTTTGATTCTCCTTTTCAAATGAGTACCTGATAATTTGTCACCAAATGAAATCAGATACTAGATTTAGTGATACCTAAGACATATATCTGACGATAGAGAGGTATCTAAGAAATAAGGGATTTTGTTCTCTGTGCAGTATAAACAGAAATTTTAAAAGCATCGGTATGTCCTTTTAAAAGCCTCAGTTTTAACTTCTATATCACTCATGTGCATTTCCTTAAGGAACCAGCTTTGATATCCCATTCACTTTTCAAGAGGGAAAAATATTTGACAAACTCAAATTAAGAAACAGTCCTTTTGTGATGAATAAATGCTACATTCTGTTTCTTCTCTTTCCATCTTTTTATTTCTTGTTGATTCCATTTTTTATTATATGAAATATAAAACTAACTAGATAATAAGCATACAATATATAACCATAAGTATACTACTGGATGTTACATATTACAACTTTCTTTTGGACTTATGACAAATGAACTACTTTAACTTGGAATTGCAATTGAACTACTTTAACATGGAATTTTAAAAAAATAACATATGCACTGGGTTTATAATGTATATCTTCATTCTGATACCCCTTCTTATTTGATATTTAAGATAAGCTATTGATAGTTCAATCCTTTTGGAAAGTGTTTTGAAACACCCCCTCTAGCTTTTAATAAGTTGCTATGGTAAATGCAAATTAGTTATTAAAAAATGTCCAGAGACTGTTATCAAGATTATACATTGCTAGATCAGTTGCTAATATTGTAAAATAGAGATTTAAAATTAAATGTAATCTTTTAAATTGACCTATGAGTGTTCACCAACTTAGTTTACAATATCGTGCTAATAATATAGCTTAAAATTCTGTCAAATTAATAAAACATGTTTTACTATCTAGCCCATAAATGCTTGAGTATAATTAATTATATTATCTGTGATTTTTAAGATTATTTAGGCCAAAATATTTCTCTAGCCTCCTATACATCCATTACAAAACTTGTCACTTATGAAATAGTAATTTTTAAATGTCTGCTTTCCCTCCTAGGTTGTGGGCTCTAGAAGATCAAGAATTGTGTGTTTGATTTTCAAATTCATTTCTTAATGTCCAACCCAATTCCAGCCCTGAAGTGATTTTAGCCTCAGAAAATAGTTCTTAAAATTGAATCAATCAACCAATAATTTATCAGCTCCCCATAGCTACAATCCATAACACTCTGTAAAAAGTGCATAATGATATTTGTGATTTGCTATAAAAATGAAGAGGAAAAGAAGTCTCCCTGTTGCCTGTTCAGACAAAAATAATTTTCCCATAGAACAAGATGGCCTCACCCTGTATATTGGGAGGTGTTCATAAGCACTGCAGGGCCAGCCGGGAGTTGACATGAGAGGGCCGTGGGCATGAAGGGAGGGGAGCGTGAAGCTGTTCAGGTGGAGCCCAGAGGGGCAGAGGCACGTACAGGGGGGTGTGAGAAGAGGGAAATATCAGGAAAGTCCTTGTTTCTCAGAGAGGGTGACGGAACACCGACAGAGACCGTTACATTCATCATATTACCCCTCGAGAAAAACATTGGCTTCTCAGTTCAAGATTTGAAGAAACATGAATTCAGATTGAAGTGCTGATTTTCCCGAGGTCTCTTAGACTGAACCAGCACTCAGTGACCAAAAGCCCCTTTCACAGACTCCCGTGGTTACTCTGAAGTGTATTTTCTATTATCCATTCTTCTCTCTTACCTCTTAGTACTTTTCTTCCCAAGGGATGATTGGGAAAGCCCTTAATCAACTTGTCCCAAACCCAACTCACTGTCACCTCCAGCTTCATGCAGCTCCCACCCTCACTGCAATTCTGAAGTTTGGCCGTGCAATTCTCAGTCTCTCTTCTCACCCCACACGCACAGTCCCTTTGGGTCAGTCTGTTCTCTGTTACTAACCTAACCTTTCCCTGTTCTCCCTGCTGCCCATTAAATTTCACCTTGTCATCAGTATCTTCCTCAGCCAACCCAGTTTAAATTGTCTACCCCCTCCTTAGCCACCCTGGTGGCTCTCCTGTCACCCTCCTTAGCACAGCACTCGAGGGGGTTAGTGACTTTGCCCCAGTACCCTTCCCCCCCCCGCTGTCCTCCCATGCCCTCAGTTTACCCTTCACTTCAGCCTCCTCCCACAGCCTCAGACACCATGCCGGTCCCCTCGCTGGCGTTTCCCTCTTTCCTTCCACTAAGACTTCAAACTCCGGCTTTACATGCTGTCTCCTCGTGAAGGTGTCACAGCTGCTCCCAGACGTCACCCCTTTATTTTCTCATCCCGCACAGCCTGTTAGTTCAGCAGCATCCTACTGTTAAACCCCACA